GAGGCAGAGGCAGGTGGATCACCTGAGGTCAGGGGTTCAAGACCAGCCTGGCCCACATGGCAAAACCCCGTCTGTACTAAAAATACCAAAAAAAAAAAAAAAAAATGTGCCGGGCACGGTGGCAGGTGCCTGTAATCCCAGCTACTTGGGAGACTGAGGCAGGAGACTCACTTGAACCCAGGAGGCAGAGGTTGCAGTGAGCCAAGATTTTGCCACTGCACTTCAGCCTGGGCAACAGAGTCAGTGAGACTCTGTCTCGAAATATAGATATATAAAACATATATATGCTAATGGGACAAACATAAGTGGCTGCCTTATATGCTTATATTATATATAATTGGAATAATTGGCAAAATTTGAATAGAGCTTGAGGATGCTCTGGCAGCCACGTGTGGATGTTACTGTCCTGACCTTGAGGGCTGTGTTGTGGTTACGCAGAACATCCTTGTTTGTGGAAAAGACACATTCAGCTCTCTAGGGGTACTGGGGTACCCCTCAGCTACTCACTCTAAACCAATTCAACCAAATGAGCTCTGTGTACTGCACTTACGACTTAAGTTTGAAGTTGTTTCGGAAATTATTAAAAAGAGGATTCCAGAGAAAATCCAAGCAGTTGAAAATACCCCATGATTTTCCTGGCCTGACTCAGAAATACTGAATGAGAACACTGGAGGCGTGGCCTTGAGATGTGTGTTTTCCAAAGCACAGCCAGGTCTGGAAAGCAGCTACTCCCCACGGGCTGGGAGAGGGAAGCACAGCCTGTGCACACAGACCAGTTCCTCGCATCCTCCTTTCATCCACATCACCATCCAACAGCTATGAGAACACGGATCGGTTCCTCTCATCCTCCTTTTATCCACATCACCACCCGGCTGCTACGAGAATTCGTTCCACACAAGTTGCGTGGTTCAATTCTGCCTACGCTGATCTCTGAGGTTTTTTGTTTTGTTTTGTTTTGTTTTTTTGAGACAGAGTTTCGCTCTTGTTGCCTAGGCTGGAGTGCAATGGCGTGATCTTGGCTCACTGCAACCTCCGTCTCCCGGGTTCAAGCGATTCTCCTGCCTTGACCTCCTGAGTAGCTGGGATTACAGGCGCCCACCACCACGCCCAGCTAATTTTTTGTATTTTTAGTAGACAGGGCTTTAGTATGTTGGCCAGGCTGGTCTCGAACTCCTGACCTCAGGCGATCCTCGGCCTCCCAAAGTGCTGGGATTACAGGCATTAGCCATCGCGCCCAGCTGAGGTTTTGTTTCCCATTCCTGTCATTAAGCTGCAGGCCTTGTCTCTCCCACTTCAAAAAGAACCACTCTCAACTAAGAAAGCTGAGATCCTCTTTGGAAGTGTTCCTCCCAGAGCACTGCCCAAGGAAGTTCTGGGGTGCCTGGCAAATGAGAGGCTTCTGGGAGCCTCAGTCGGTCCAGCTCCACATTCCTGGTGCTTTATGTTCCCCTTTACTTTGACTATTAAGACACATTCCTGACCTAGTGCGGTGGCCCATGCCTGTAATCCCAGCACTTTGGGAGGCTGAGGCAGGTGGATCACCTGAGGTCAGGAGTTCAAGACCAGCCTGGTCAACATGGCAAAGCCATGTCTCTACTAAACACAAAAATTAGCCAGGTGTGGTGGTGGGCAACTGCAACCCCAGCTACTAGGAGGCTGAGGTGAGGCAGGGGAATTGCTTGAACCCAGGAGGCAGAGGCTGCAGTGAGTTGAGATCGTGCCACTGCATTCCAGCCTGAGCAACAGAGCCAGACTCTGTCTCGAAAAAAAAAAAAAAAAAGACCTAGGAGCTGTGGCCTGTGGTGGGGAGTGGACTTGGGGGACCTCCTCCCCCTCCCTCACAATCCACAGGAAACCTGCTCCAGCTCTGCCTAGCTGGGTACAAAGAGTGCTGCCTTTCTTCTTTTCTGCCTGGACCTACCCTGCTCCAGCTCTGCCATCAGTCTTTATGTACCCACATATCTCCATAAGCCAGTTCAGGGGCCCCAAGAAGGCGAACCTCAATAGGACCTTATAAGGCTTCCTGACGGTGGGATGCAACACTCTGAACATACTGAAAGCCAATGAATGGTACTCTAAATGGGTGAATTTTCTAGCAGATGTCTTCTATCTCAATAAACCTATTCAAAACGAAGTGCTTCCTGCCTACCAATCCATCCTCACCCACTCCAGTTCCCAACCTCACACCATGGTTCAGCCTTGATGAACTACTTGTTTTCTGGATGTCAATCTTTCTACACTGCTGAGCTCTTGCAAATAATAAATCTCTTTCTCTTCCCTACCATGCTCATCTGACAAATTTTTACTTGCTCTTAAACCTTCTTTTCTTTTTTTTTTTTGAGACAGAATCTTGCTCTGTCGCCCAGGCTGGAGTGCAATGGCACAATCTCAGCTCACTGCAGCCTCTGCCTCCCAGGTTCAGGCGACTCTTCTGCCTCAGCCTCCCGAGTAGCTGGGATTGCAGGCACATGCCCAGCTAATATTTTTGTATTTTTAGTGGAGACGGGGTTTCCGCATGTTGGTCAGGCTGATCTCCGACTCTGGACCTCAGGTGATCTGCCCGCCTCAGCCTCCCAAAGTGCTGGGATTACAGGCATGAGCCACCACACCTGGCCAAAGCCAATTTTTAAAAAGTGAAAAATAAATATAGAGGGGATTGCAGCTTCTAGACGTGTTTTCACCATAAACAAATAGAAAACCGGGGGTAGGGGACAGAAAAGGGAACTGTTTTCAGACTGGACAACAGGCAGCTCAGGACTGTTCCCTGAGAAACAAACAAATGAGAAATAAACAAGTGGAGCTTTGTGCTCACTGGGCTTTCTGCCTGGAGTCCATATCTGATCCATGGTACAGAGGGCGGGAACTCAAACAAAGGCCACCAGTGTCACCCAGTTGAGGAGACAGAGAATGGACAGGAAGGAGCTCGGGAGAGGTAACCCAAAAAGTTGTGTATGAGCCACTGGGCTTACCACTGAGATGTGCACACATGGATCAGAATGGCTGAAATTCGGCCGGGCAGGGTGGCTTACACCTGTAATCCCAGCACTTAGGGAAGCCAAGACAGGAGAATCATTGAGCCCAGGAGTTCCGGACCAGCCTGGGCAGTGTGGTGAGACCCCATCTCAACAAAAATCAACAAATTAGCCAGGTGTGGTGGTGCATGCCCATAGTTCCATCTACTCAGGAAGCTGAGGTAGGAGACTCTCTGGTTTGGGAGGTCGAGGCTGCAAGTGAGCTATGATTGCGTGACTGTACTCCTCCAGCCTGGGTAACAGAGTCAGACCCTATTTCCAAAAAAAGCTGAAATTATGACACTGAGTGTTAGGGAGAACTGGAATTCTCATGCATTGCTGGTGAGAATGTAAGATGTACAAGTACTTTGGAAGAAGGTCTGGCGATTTTTTATAAAATTAAACATATGCTTACTCTTTGCCCCAGCCATTCAGTGTCTAGGTATGTATCCAAAATAAATCAAAACAAACATATGTTCACCAAAATACTTGTCCAAGAATGATGACAGCAGCTTTATTTAAAGTTGCTGACAGGCATGGTGGCTCAGGCCTGTAATCCCAGCACTTTGGGAGGCTGAGGCGGGCAGATCACGAGGTCAGGAGATGGAGATCATCCTGGCTAACAAGGTGAAACCCCGTCTCCACTAAAAAATACAGAAAATTAGCCAGGCGTAGTGGCTGTTTAGTCCCAGCTACTCCGTAGTGCTGTAGTCCCAGCTACTCAGGAGGCTGAGGCAGGAGAATGGCGTGAACCCGGGAGGCGGAGCTTGCACTGAGCCGAGATTGCGCCACTGCACTCCAGCCTGGGTGACAGAGCAAGACTCCCTCTCAAAAAAAAAAAAAAGTAGCCAAGTAGCCAGGTGTGGTGGCACATGCCCGTAGTCCCAGTTACCTAGGAAACTGAAGCAGGAGAATGGCTCGAACCCAGGAAACAGAGGTTGCAGTGAGCCAAGATCGCTTTGCACTCCAGCCTGGGTGACAGAGCAAGACTCCTTCTCAAAATAAATAAATAAAATAAATAAATAAATAATTTTTTAAAATTGCCAAAAATTAGACATAACTCAAGTTGTCTGTCAATGGGAAGACTGATAAATAAACTGTTGTATATTCCTATATACATTGCATTTATCCTCAGAGCAATACTACTGAGCAATAAACATAAACCACTGATACGTGCAATGACATGGATGACTTTCACCAAGGGAACACTGAGCAAAGGAAGCTGCAAACCATGGAGTTCATCCTGTGTGGATCTGTTTACACAAAGTACCAGAACGGACGAAACTCATCCAAGGTGCAAAAAATCAGATACCTGACCCCACAGGTCTTCTTCTTGGTTCCCCTGGAAATGCATCCGTCTCAGAGACCGGCGCAGCCAGGGCAGGCCCATTTCATAAGGAGAGCTCCCATTTCTTAAAAAGGATGAGTGCGGGGGTTGGCTTGTCCACTCGGTCCCTGGGAAAGTTGTGTCAGGTCCTGGGTCCCAGCTGGGTACCCAACAGTGAGTCAGTTGGACACAGTCCCCACTGCAGGGAGCCCTGCAGCCTTTTCAGGGCAACAAACAAAACAAAAGGTGTTCACAGTACTCATCCATGTGTTATAAACTGAATTCTGTCTTCCCTAAATTCATATGCTGAAGCCCTAACCCTCAGTCCCTCTGAATGTTACCGTGTTTGGAGATACGGCCTTTAAAGTGGTGATTAATTAAGATGGGGTTGTTAGGGGTGGGCCCTAGGCAAATGCGCCCGGTGTCATTAAGAGAGGAGCAGACTAGGGCTCACATCTGTAAGCCCAGCCCTTTGGGAGGCAGAGGCGAAAGGATTGCTTGGGACCAGCCTGGGCAACATACAGAGACGCTGTCTCTAAAAATAAAAATAATTAGCCAAGTGTGGTGGCACGTGCTTGTAGTCCCAGCTACGTGGGAGGTTGAGGCGGGAGGGTCACTTGAGTCCAGGAGCTGCTTAGGGCTGCATTGAGCTATGATGGTGCCAATGCACTCCAGCCTGGGTGACAGAGCAAGGTCCTGTCTCTGAAAAAGAAAAAAAGGAGATTAGGATGCAGACATACACATGGGGAAGACCAAGACCATGTGAAGACACAGGAAGAAGATGACTGTCTACACACCAAGGAGTGAGGCCTGAGGAGAAACCAGCCTTGCCAACGCCTTGATCATGGACGTCCAGATGAGATTCAGTTCAGGATGCTGCGAAGAGAGACGACCCTGGAGGATCCTCATGGGCCCAGTGTAACCACAAAGGTCCTTTGAAAAGGGAGGCGGGAGGGAAGAGTCAGAGAAGGAGATGAGATGACAGAAGTGGGGGCCAGAGAGGGAGCTCTGAGGATGCTATGCTGCTGGCTTTAAGATGGAGGAGGCAGTGGCTCACACCTGAAATCCCAGCACTGTGAGGGGGCCGAGGCAGGCAGATCACTTGAGGTCAGGAGTTCGAGACCAGCCTGGCGAACATGGTGAAACGCGTCTCTACTAAAAATACAAAACAAAACAAAAAAATAGCTGGGTATGGTGGTGCATGCCTGTAGTCCCAGCTACTTGGGAGGCTGAGGCAGAAGAATTGCAGTGACCTGGGATTGTGCCACTGCACTCCAGCCTGGGTGACAAAGTGAGACATCTCAAAAAATTAAATTAAAATAAAATAAGATGGAGGAGGGGGCTGGGGGCAATGAAGGCAGGCCCCTCTGGAAGCTGGAAAGAACAGGAAGCTGGCATCTCCCCCTGCAGCATCCATCAGAAAGGCAGTCCTGGCGACACTCTGATTTCAAGATTTTGACCTCCAGAACGTTAAGATAATAAACTTGTGTTGGCCACATGTATGTCTTTAAGTGTCTGTTCATGTCCTTTGCCCACTTTTTAATGAGGTGGTTTGGTTTTTTCCTTGTAAATTTGCTTAAGTTCCTTGTAGATTCTGGATATTAGACCTTTGTCAGATAGATAGATTGCAAAAATTTTCTTCCATTCTGTAGGTTGTCTGTGTTCACTCTGATGATAGTTTCTTTTGCTATGCAGAAGCTCTTTGGTTTAATTAGATCCCATTTGTCAATTTTTGCTTTTTTTTTCCCCTGAGACAGAGTCTTGCTCTGTGCCCCAGGCTGGAGTGCAGTGGCGCAATCTCAGCTCAAAGCAACCTCCGCCTCCCAGGTTCCAGCAATTCTCCTGCCTCAGCCTCCTGAGTAGCTAGGATTACAGGTGTGTGCCACCATGCCTGGCTAATTTTTGTAATTTTAGCAGAATAGGGTTTCACCATGTTGGTCAGGCTGATCTCAAACTCCTGACCTCATGATCCACTCACCTCGGCCTCCTAAAGGCTCAGATTACAGGCATGAAACACCACACCTGGCCCAATTTTTGCTTTTGTTGCAATTGCTTTTGGTGATTTCATTAGAAAATCTCTGCCCACGCCTGTGTCTGGAATGGTACTGCCTGGATTTTCTTCTAAGGTTTTTATAGTTTGGGGTTTTACATTTAAATCTTTAATCCATCTTGAGTTTATTTTTGTATAAGATGTAAGGAAGGGGTCCAGTTTCAATTTTCTGCATATGGCTAGTCAATTCTCCCAGCACCATTTGTTAAATAGGAAATCCATTCCCCATTGCTTGTTTTTGTCAGGTTTGTCAAAGATCAGATGGTTGTAGATGTGTGGTTATATTTCTGAGTTCTCTATTTTGTTCCAAAAAGAAAAAAAAAAACTCAACATCACTGATCATTAGAGAAATGCAAATAAAAACCACAATGAGATACTACCTCACGCCAGTCAGAATGGCGATTATTAAAAAGTCAAGAACAACAGATGCTGGTGAGGTTGCGGAGAAATAGGAACGCTTTTACATTGTTGTGGGAATGTAAACTAGTTCAACAATTGTGGAAGACAGCGTTGCAATTCCTCAAAGATTTAGAACTGGAAATACCATTTGATCAAAAAATCCCATTACTGGGTGTATATCCAACGGAATATAAATTATTCTATTATAAAGATACTTGCACACGTGTGTTCATTGCAGCACTATTCACAATAGCAAAGATGTGGAACCAACCCAAATGCCCATCAGTGATAGACTGGATGAAGAAAATGTGGTCCATATACACTATATTAGTCCATTTTCATGCTGCTGATAAAGACATACCCAAGACTGGAAAGAAAAAGAGGTTTAATTGCACTTACAGTTCCACATGGCTGGGGAGGCCTCAGAATCGTGGCAGGAGGTGAAAGGCACTTCTTACATGGCAGCGGTAAGAGAAAAATGAGGAAGATACAAAAGTGGAAGCTCCTGATAAACCCATCAGATCTCATAAGACTTACTAACTACCATGAGAACAGTATGGGGGAACTGCCCCCGTGATTCAATTCTCTCCCACTGGCTTCCTCCCACAACATGTTGGAATTATGGGAGTGCAACTCAAGATGAGATTTGGGTGGGGACAGAGTCAAACCATATCATTCCACCTCTGGCCCCTCAAAATCTGATGTCCTCACATTTCAAAACCAATCACGCCTTCCCAACAGTCCCCCAAAGTCTTAACTCATTTCAGCATTAACCGAAAAGTCCACAGTCCAAAGTTTCATCTGAGACAAGGCAAGTCCCTTCCGCCTATGAGCCTGTAAAATCAAAAGCAAGCTAGTTACTTCCTAGATACAATGGGGGTACAGGTTATTGGGAAAATACAGTCATTCCAAATGGGAGAAATTGGTCAAAGCAAAGGGGTTACAGGGCCCATGGAAGTCAGAAATCCAGCAGGGCAGTCAAATCTTAAAACTCCAAAATGATCTCTTTTGACTCCAAGTCTCACATCCAGGTCATGCTGATGCAAGAGGTGGGTTCCCATGGCCTTGGGCAGCTCTGCCCCTGTGGCTTTACAGGGTACAGCCTCCTTCCTGGCTGCTTTCACCAGCTGGTGTTCAGTGTCTATGCCTTTTCCAGGCACATTGTGTGAGCTGTCAGTGGATCTACCATTCTGACGTCTGGAGGATGGTGGCCTTCTTCTCACAGCTCCACTCGGCAGTGCCTCAGTAGGAACTCTGTGTGGGGGCTCTGACTCCACATTTCCCTTCTGCACTGCCCTAGCAGAGGCTCTCCATGAGTCCCGCCCCTTCAGCAAACTTCTGCCTGGGCTTCCAGGCGTTTCCATAAATCTGAAATCTAGGCGGAGGGTCCCAAACCTCAATTCTTGACTTTTGTGCACCCACAGGCTCAACACCACATGGAGGCTGCAAAGGCTTGGAGCTTCCTCCCTCTGAAGCCATGGCCCAAGCTCTACGTTGGCCCCTTTCAGCCACAGCCAGAGTGGCTGGGATGAAGGGCACCAAATCCCTAGGCTGCACACAGCTCAGGGACCCTGGGCCCAGCCCAGTAAACCACTTTTTCCTCCTAGGCCCCTGGTCCTGTGATGGGAGGGACTGCTGTGAAGACCTCTGACATGCCCTGGAGACATTTTCCCCATTGTCTTGGGGATTAGCATTTGGCTCCTTGTTACTTATGCAAATTACTGCAGCTGGCTTGAATTTCTCCTCAGAAAATGGGATTTTCTTTTCTATCGCATTGTCAGGCTGCAAATTTTCCAAACTTTAGTACTCTGTTTCCCTTTTACAACTGAATGCTTTTAGGCTGGGCATGGTGGCCCACACCTATAATCCCAGCACTTTGGGAGGCTGAGGTGGGTGGATTGCCTGAGGTCAAGAGTTTGAGACCAGCCTGGCTAACATGGTGAAACCACATCTCTACTAAAAATACAAAAATTAGCCGGGCATGGTGTCGCACGTCTGTAGTCCCAGCTACTCTGGAGGCTGAGGGAGGAGAACTGCTTGAACCCAGGAGGTAGAGGTTGCAGTGAGCCAAGGTCGTACCACTGCACTCCAGCCTGGGCGACAGAGCAAGACTCCACTGAAGAAAAAAAAACCTGAATGCTTTTAACAACACCCAAGTCACCTCTCGAATGTTTTGCTGCTTAGAAATTTCTTCCGCCAGGCTGCGCACAGTGGCTCAAGCCTGTAATCCCAGCACTTTGGGAGGCCGAGACGGGCAGATCACCAGGTCAGGAGATGGAGACCATCCTGGCTAACATGGTGAAACCCCGTCTCTACTAAAAAATACAAAAAACTAGCCAGGCGAGGTGGCGGGCGCCTGTAGTCCCAGCTACTCGGGAGGCTGAAGCAGGAGAATGGCGTGAACCCGGGAGGCAGAGCTTGCAGTCAGCTGACATCCAGCCACTGCACTCCAGCCTGGGGACAGAGCAAGACTCTGTCTCAAAAAAAAAAAAAAAAAAAAGAAAGAAATTTCTTCCGCCAGATACCCTAAATCATCTCTCTCAAGTTCAAAGTTCCACAAATCTCCAGGGCAGGGAGAAAATGCTGCCAGTCTCTTGGCTAAAACATAACAAAGAGTCACCTTTGCTCTAGTTCCCAAGTTCCTCATCTCCATCTGAGATCACGTCAGCCTGGACCTTATTGTCCACGTCGCTATCAGCATTTTGAGCAAAGCCATTCAACAAGTCTCTAGGAAGTTCCAAACTTTTCCCACATTTTCCTGCCTTGTTCTGAGCCCTCCAAACTGTTCCAACCTCTGCCTGTTACCCAGTTCCAAAGTTGCTTCCACATTTTCGGCTATCTTTTCAGCAACGCCCCACTCTGCTGGTACCAATTTACTGTACTTGTTGTTTTTCACGCTGCTAATAAAGACGTACCCGAGACTGGGAAGAAAAAGTGGTTTAATTGGACTTACAGTTCCACATGGCTGGGAAGGCCTCAGAATCATGGCAGGAGGTGAAAGGCTGAGATCGCACCAGTGCACTCCAGCCTGGGCAACAACAGCAAAACTCTGTCTCAAAAACAAAAGAAAAGAAAAAAACAAGATCATGTCTTTTGAAGGGACATGGATGGAGCTAGAAGCCATTATCCTCAGCAAACTAACACAGGAACAGAAAACCAAGCATTGCATGTTCTCACTTATAAGTGGGAGCTGAACAATGAGAACACGTAAACTCGGGGAGGAGAACCACACACATTGGGGTCCTAGTGGGGGGTGGGGGGCAGAACATTAGAAAAAAGAGCTAAGACGTGCTGTGCTTAAACCTAGGTGATGGGTTGATAGGCTCAGCAAACCACCATGACACACATTTACCTATGCAACAAACCTGCACATCCTGCACGTGTAGCCTGGGACTTAAAAAAATAAAATTAAAAAAATAAAATAAATTTGTGTTGTTTTAAGCAACTGAGTTTGCTCAGGCCAAACTCCCAGCCCCTCCAGCGCCAGGCCGACGCAGTCATCAGGCTTTTGGTGGAACATTTGCTGCATTATCAGACGCTGGACGCCAGACCTCGCAATCTCTTGTTAGTGCTTCTGCTTCCAGTGGAGGTGGGGGATGTCAGCCCTGGGAACAGCGTGTTCTTGAAATAAATGTCCTTTCAGAGGGACGTGTCTGAGCCAGAGCAGTCAGGAAAAAGTGGGTCAGTGCTCGCCTTTTTTTTTTTTTTTTTTAAACAAGTGCACTCATATCCAGAACTTGGTTTGGGCACAAAGTCAAGTAAGCTTGGACTTCCCAAGCTCCCGTCTGCACCCACGTTCCAGACAGAGACCACAGAGAAATGGCCTTGCACATCCATTCAGGAGAGCGGGGCCCAGGGCCACCCCCGGACCAGACGAGGACCAGCCCCTCCTCCCAAGGGAAAGGGAGCTCACAGAGTGCCTTTGTTTTCTTTGCAGCCATCACAAACTTCTACAAATTTGGAGGCTGAAAACGGCACAATGTATAACCCTGCAGTTCTGTAGTGGGGGCCGGTGGAGAATCCCTTTTCTGTGCTCATTTGTATTGTCTGCAGAATGCAGATCCTTGTAGTGTGGGACTGAGGTGCTGTCACCTTGCCGGGGTCAGCAGGGACCGTTCTGAGTGTCTAGGGGCCGCCCCCTACCAGCTTGCAAAGCCGACGATGGCTGACGAGCACACGGCGCCTCCCTGCCTCCTCCTCTGCCGTCGCTTCTCTCTGACGGGCTCTTCTGCCTTCGTCCTCCTCTTCTGGGGTTCATGCCATTCCGCTGGGCCACCTAAGTAACCCAGGATCACCTTCCCAGTCAAGGTCATGACCTGACTCACACCTGCACAGTCCCTTTTGCCATGGAAGGCAGCAGGTTCACAGGTTAGGGCTGAGGGCAGGGACTTCTTCACGGGCGGTTATCTGGGAGATCACAGCGAGGAAGCAGAGATGTTAGGGAGACCTTCGCCCAAGTCAGATGTGCTGACCCCAGCCTGGGAGAGGAACAGACTCAGTGGCCAAGCTGGGGCTATTGTCTAGGGAGCCCGGCCTGGGCTGTATGCAGTTCCTCCGCACCTCCCTGCCTTGCTGTGGGCCCAAAACTCCACTGACACCTAAGGGGTCTTGGCTCCGGGATGGCAAGCAATGTGCTCAAGGTGGATTTCAGGCCAGGTGTGGTGGCTCACGCCTGTAGTCTCAACACTTTGAGAGGCTGAGGTGGGTGGATCACCTGAAGTCAGGAGTTTGAGACCAGCCTGGTCAACATGGTGAAACCCTGTCTCCATTAAAAATACAAAAATTAGCCAGGTGTGGTGGCGCGCACCTGTAATCCCAGCTACTCAGGAGGCTGAGACATCACTTGAACCTGGGAGGCGGAGGCTGCAGTGAGCTGAGACTGCGCCACTGTACTCCAGCCTGGGCGACAGAGCGAGACTTCGTCTCAAACAACAACAGCAAAAACAAATACAAGATGCTCAAAGAACACCTGGAAGATTCATTGAAAAAGATCATCACTTAGGCACATTGTCATCAGGTTATCTGAAGTCAAGATGAAGGGAAGAATCTTAAAAGCTGTGAGGCAAAAGCACCAGGTAACCTGGCTGGGCGTGGAGGCTCACGCCTGTAATCCCAGCACTTTGGGAGACTGAGGTGGCGAATCACGAGGTCAGGAGATCGAGACCATCCTGGCTAACATGGTGAAACCTCGTCTCTACTGAAAATACAAAAAATTAGCCAGGCGCGGTGGCGGGCGCCTGTAGTCCCAGCTACTCAGGAGGCTGCGGCAGAATGGCGTGAATCCAGGAGGCGGAGCTTGCAGTGAGCTGAGATCGCGCCACTGCACTCCAGACTGGGCGACACAGCGAGACTCTGTCTCAAAAACAAACAAACAAACCAACCAGGTAACCTATAAAGGAAAACCTATCAGATTCACAGCAGATTTCTCATCAGAAACCCCACAAGCTAGAAGGCAGAGAACACTGAAAAAGTGTACGGTCAGCCCTCCATATCTGTAGATTCCTTATTCATGGATTCAGCCAAGTGTGGATTGAAAATACTCAGAGTGAAAATGGATGATTGCATCAGTACTGAACATGTAACTCACTTTGTTTTTTATTTTTTATTTTTTGAGATGAAGTCTCACTCTGTCATCTAGGCTGGAGTGCAATGGCACCATCTCGGCTCACTGCAATCTCCGCCTCTTAGATTCAAGCAATTCTCCTGCTTTAGCCTCCCGAGCTGGGCACACAGTCGTGTGCTACCACACCCGGCTAATTTTTCGTATTTTTAGTAGAGATAGGATTTCACCATGTTGGCCAGGCTGGTCTTGAACTCCTGACCTCAGGTGATAAACCTGCCTCGGCTTCCCAAAGTGCTGGGATTACAAGCATGAGCCACCACACCCAGTCCTGACTTTTAAATCTTGTTATTATTCCCTAAACAATACAGTATAACAACTTTTTTTTTCTTTTGAGGCAGGGTCTCCTTCTGTTGCTCAGGCTGGAGGGCACTGACAAGATCACTGCTCACTGTGGAGGCTACAACCTCCACCCCTGGGCTCAATCAATCCTCCACCTCAGCCTCCCAAGTAGCTGAGACTTACAGGCATGCGCCACCATGCCTGGTTAATTTTTGTATTTTTTGTAGAGATGGGGTTTTGACCTGTTGCCCAGGCTGTCTTGAACTCTTGGGCTCAAGCAATCCACTAGCTTTAGACTCCCAAAGTGTTGGGATTACAGGCTTGAGCCACCTTGCCCAGCCATAGTTGAACAACTATTTACATAGCATTTACATTGTATTAAGCATTATGAGTAACCTAGAGATGATTTAACATATACAGGAGGTTATATGCAAATATAATCATGTTATATCAGGGACTTGAGCATTGTAGATTTTGGTTTCCGCTGGGGATCCTGGAATCAGTCCTGAAGGACAACTGTATTTCCGTGGAAAATGCATAACTAAGTCAGAGCCCGGTATTCTTCTGCCTATAAGTTGTCTGAAAAAGACGATCCTTCCTTCATTTAGGAAGCTTAGTTTTGCTGGATACACAATTCCTGGCTGATAATTGTTTTGTTTAAGGAGCCTGAAGATACGGGTCTAATCCCTTTCTGAGTGTTCTCTCCTGAATCTATATTGAAGCTATGGACAAAAGCAGATTTATTTCAGGGGTGAAAAAATAAGAGTGTAAATTCACCTGGACCCAGACTCAGGGAGGCTGCAGCCCCTGCTGCTTCCGGAGTGCAGGTGATTGCTGAGATACCTGGAACTGGGGTTCCTCCCCACACCCTAACCTCAGGAACCTGTGAACATATTAGGTTATGTGGTAAAGAGAATTAAGGCTGCAGATTAAATTAGAGTTGCCACCCAACTGATGTTCAAATAGGAGATTGTTCAATTGTTCTAGATTATTTGGGTGAAGCCAATGTGATCACAAAGATCCTTAAAAATGGAAGAGAGGCTGGATGCAGCGGTTGACACCTATAATCTCAACACTTTGGGAGGCCAAGGCAGGCAGATCACTTGAGGTCAGGAGTTCAAGACCAGCCTGGCCAGCATGGTGAAACTCCGTCTTTACTAAAAATACAAAAAATCGCTATAAGCTGTAGGCTGGACTGTTCTGACTGGTCAGCTACTGGTGTCGGAGGGGGTCAGTCCCACCTGAAACATATGGTGGTAAGTTTCCTGAGGCCTCCCCAGTCATGCTTCCTGTACAGCCTATGAAACTGTGAGTCCATTAAGCCTCCTTTCTTTATAAATTACCAAGTCCCAGGTAGTTCTTTTTTCTTTTTTTTTTTTTGAGACGGAGTTTCACTCTGTCACTCAGGCTGGAGTGCAGTGGTGTGATCTTGGCTCACTGCAACCTCTGCCTCCCGGGTTCAAGCAATTCTCTGCCTCAGCCTCCCTAGTACAGGCACCCGCCACCACGCCTGGCTAATTGTTTTGTATTTTCAGTAGAGATGGAGTTTCACCATCTTGGCCAGGCTGATCTTGAACTCCTGACCTTGTGATCCACCCACCTCGGCCTCCCAAAGTGCTGGGATTACAGGTGTGAGCCACCGCGCCTGGCCTCAGGTAGTTCTTTATAGCAGTGTGTGAACGGACTCATACAGCAGGTTTGCTTGCAGCCTATTATAAAAGTTAGGACTTCCTAAGCTCAGGATTCCTCAGCTATGACGCAAACCTACTGAGTGTGTGGCATGCACCTGGATCACTTCCACATCATCCCCATGGAAAATCAAGAACTCAACCCCTTTTACAATAGCTTCAAAAATAAAAATAAAAAACTTAGGAATATACCTAACAAAGGACATGAAAGACCTCTACAAGGAAAACTACAAAGCCCTGCTGAAAGAAATCATAGACAACACAAACAAATAGAAACACATCCCATGCTTATGGATGGGTAGAATCAATATTGTGAAAATGACCAGACTGCCAAAAGCAATCTACAAATTCAATGCAATTCCCATCAAAATACCACCATTGTTCTTCACAAAACTAGAAAAAACAATCCTAAAATTCATATGGAACCAGGTCAGGTGCGGTGGCTCATGCCTGTAATCCCAGCACTTTGGGAGGCCGAGGCTGGCTGATCAACTGAGGTCAGGAGTTTGAGACCAGCCTGGCCAACATGGTGAAACCCCGTCTCTACTAAAAATACAAGTAATTAGCTAGGCGTGGTGGCGAGCACCTGTAGTCCCAGGTACTCGGGAGGCTGAGGGAGGAGAATCACTTGAACCTGGGAGGTGGAGGTTGCAGTGAGCTGAGAACACACCATTGCACTCCAGCCTGGGCAATGAGAGCAAAACTCTGTCTCAAACAAAACAAAACAAAACAAACACAATGTAATACCACCTTATTCCTGCAAGAATGGCCATTATCAAAAAATTAAAAAATTAGAGATGTTGGCATGGACGTGGTGAAAAGGGAACACTTCTACACTGCTGGTGGGAATGTAAACTAGTACAACCACTATGGAAAACAGTGTGGAGCTAACTTAAAGAACTAAAAGCAGAATTATCATTTGATCCAGCAATCCCACTACTGGATATCTACCCAGAGGAAAAGAAGTCATTATTCAAAAAAGATACTTGCACACACGTTTATAGCAGCACAATTCACAATTGGAAAAATGTGGAACCAGCGCAAATGCCCATCAGTCAATGAGTGGATAAAAAAACTGTGGTATATATATATATATATGACAGAATACTGCATACGCAACAAGCTGGATGGAACTGTTGCCTATTATTCTAAGTGAAGTAACTCAGGAATGGAAAATCAAACATCATATGGTCTCACTCAGAAGTGGAAGCTAAGCTATGAAGATGCAAAGGTTCAAGAAGAATACAAAGGACTTTGGGGACATGGGGGAAAGGGGTGGAAAGGGGGTAAGAGATAAAAGACTACCAATTGGCTTCAGTGTATACTGCTCAGGTGATGGGGGCACCAAATCTCACAAATCACCACTAAAGAACTTAATCATGTAACTAACTCGCGTAACCTAGTCCCCAAAAACCTATGGAAATAAAAAATTAAAAAAAAAAAAAAGAAACTTGAGACCCACGCAGAATTGTCTCCCAAAAGTCTTTTCAGACTTTTTCTAGTCCACATTTGCAGTTAAAATGGTTATAATCATGGTATGTATATAACTTCATCCCATAAGATGGGATGCCAGGCTCCTAGCTTTTCAATCTCCCCAGCTTGCAGACAGCTTATTGTGGGACTTCTTCGCCTCTGTGATCCTAAGAACCAAGAAGGTTCTTTTACATTTAATTAAAGTGTTTTTCATGCTGTTCAAAGTTATCTATAACCATCATTTTAAAAGCCTTTATGGGCCAGGCGTGGTGGCTCACGCCTGTAATCCCAGCACTTTGGGAGGCCAAGGTGGACAGATCACGAGGTCAGGAGATCGATACCATCCTGGCTAACACAGTGAAACCCCGTCTCTGCTAAAAATGCAAAAAAAAAAAAAAAAAAAAAATAGCAGGGCTTGGTGGCAGGTGCCTGTAATCCCAGCTACTCTGGAGGCTGAGGCAGGAGAATGTTGTGAACCCGGGATGTGGAGCTTGCAATGAGCCGAGATCATGCCACTGCACTCTAGCCTGGACGACAGAGTGAGACTCCGTATAAAAAAAAAAAAAAAAAACAGACTTTATGGGCTGGGTGCAGTGGCTCACGCCTGTAATCCCAGCACTTTGGGAGGCCGAGGCAGGCAGATCACCTGAGGTCAGGAGTTCCAGACCAGTTTGGCCAACGTGGTGAAACCCTGTCTCTACTAAAAACACAAAATATTAGCCAGGCATGGTGGCAGGTGCAATGTCGACTCACTGCAAGCTCTGCCTCCCAGGTTCACGTCATTCTCCTGCCTCAGCCTCCCGAGTAGCTGGGACTACAGGCGCCCGCCACCATGCCTGGCTAATTTTTTTGTATTTTTAGTAGAGACTGGGTTTCACCATGTTAGCCAGGATGATCTCAATCTCTTGTCCTTGTGATCCACCCGCCTCGGCCTCCCAAAGTGCTGGAATTACAGCTGTGAGCCACCACGCCCGGCCGTGAGATCCTATCTTTAAAAAAAAAAAAAAATTAGTTGGGCATGGGGGCATGCACCAGTAGTCCTGGCTACTCAGAAGGCTGAGGCCAGAGGATTGAGAGGATTGCTTGAGCCCAGGAGGTCAAGGCTGCAGTGAGTTGAGACTGCACCACTGCCCTCCCGCCTGAGCAACAGAGCAAGATGCTGTTCAATTACAAATAAAAATATGGTGCCAGAAATGGTGTATGAAAACAGAGAAAAAAATCAAAATAAAATAAAAATAAAAATAAAAATGAGTGAGTGAATGAATGACATGTAAACATAATTGGGATGAATTCTAAGCACACCGACCAGGATCTGAGGTGCGTCTGGAATCTGTATGGCTCCTTCCCCGCTCCCACTCACTCCCTGCTACTGAGGGATGCTGACTCACGCCCGCCTTCAGGTTGCCAATCTGTAAAGTGACATAAAACAAGCACTTACATAAATAGTTCCTTCCAAAGTGAGAAAGGGGGCCGGGCATGGTGGCTCATGCCTGTAATCCCAGCACTTTGGGAGGCCAAGGCGGGCGGATCACTTGAGGTCAGGAGTTCAAAACCAGCCTGGCCAACATGGTGAAACCCTATTATCTACTAAAAACACAAAAATTAGCCGGGCGTGGTCACGTACGCCTGTAATCCCAGCTACTTGAGAGGCTGAAGCATGAGAATTTCTTAAACCCAGGAGGTGGAGGTTACAGTGAGCCGAGATCAAGCCACTGCAGCCTGGGTGACAGAGCGAGACCCTGTCTGAAAAAAAAAAAAAGTGAGAAAGGACTGAGGTGGTTCATTGGCAATAGGGTAACAATACCATTTGTCATTCAAGCCAGAACATTTCTGAGAGAGAAAGGGAAATTTGTTAGTAATTATGCTGGTCTAAAGTGACTTTCCTGGCAAACGTTAGACACACAGCTGTTCACACATGGGAAAAATGAATGCATGGATGGACGGACAGATACTCACCTGCTGTGAGCGCCGTGCCAAGCTCTGGAGAGCCCTCTTCCCACTGGCTGGCTCTGTTCTCACTCTGCCCTGCAGGTCGGTTCTGTTCTTCTTTTACGGCTAGAGAAAGAGGAACCGAGAGAGCTAAAGCAACTGCCTGATGCCACCAGACCAGGAGAATGGACAAAGATTCTTTGCTTGGCCAATCTTTAGTCAACTTTAGAAACTTCTCCAAGGCCCATCTGTGCACTTCCTTGTAAAATCTCGTTTTAGCAAAGAACTCCTCTTTTTTTGAGACAGTCTTACTCTGTTGCCCAGTGGCACGATCTCAGCTCACTGCAACCTCCGCCTCCCTGGTTCAAGGGATTCTCCTGCCTCAGCCACCCCAAGTAGCTGGGATTATAGGTGCCTGCTACCACGCCCGGCTCATTTTTGTATTTTTGTATTTTTAGTAGCAATGAGATTTCATCATGTTGGCCAGGCTGGTCTCGAACACCTGACCAATCCTTGAGGCAAGTGATAAACTTGCCTCAGCCTACCAAAGTGTTGGAATTATAGGCATGAGCCACTGCGCATGGCCGAGTTTTAGCAAAGAACTCTTCTAAGTCAGTTTACCCCACCCTTCATATCCAATTAGATTACTCATTCCCTCTGCCCCCCAGGTAGTGTCTGAGCATCCTGGCCTGTCTTCAGCAAGCATCCTGCTAGGCTGGTTTAGCCCGCATCCCTTACTCCCAGTGCTTTCTCTTAGTAATTTTGCATCTGCTGTTCCCCATCCTGCTCCTTGGCTGTATGTAAATCCTCACTTGCCCGTGCTGTATTCGGAGTTGAGCCCACTCTCTCCCCGACTGCAAGACGCTGTTGCAGCGGTCCCCGCACCTATCATAAGGGGCCTGAACACCTCTGCCTTACTGTGCTCTAACAAGCAGCACTGGATAACCTGCTCTTCCAAACCCCAGATGGAAAGAACGAAACTGCAGCAAATCAGCAGCCGCAACAAAAAGCCTTCGGTGGCAGGGGGAGGGAGTTAGGCGGGGGGCCTGCTGGAAGGCAGGGCTGGACGAGGGCCCTGAGGCGTCGCTGAGGGTCCTGTGTTGAAAGGTATCCACAGCTGAGTGGGTTACTGGGTCTGAGGGGGAGGGCCTTGCACGTGCCCCCAGCTGGGCTGAGTTCAGTCCCCCAGTGCTGGGGCGGGAGGTGCAGCAGTGCGGGAAGGGTCTTTGCCAAGTGAAAGCATGCCAGTCTTTAATTCTCCTTGACAGTACCACAGTGGAGGAGAACCCGGGGTGCCAAGAGGCAGCTGCCCCCAGGTCTCTTGGCAGGTCAGCAGCAGAGTGGGTCCCAAACCAGGCCCTTGCCTCCAGGCCCCCCAGGTTGCTGCTGCTTGTGGTTTCCAGCTGGCCAAGAAAGCGCCAAGACACTGATTAGAAACAGAAGGTTTTTACTGTGGTGGCGACCAGCAGAGGGAAGGACAATAGGGGTGTCTGAGACACCAGGAGACATTTAGCAGGCACTGCCTAGAGAGGAATCTGGCCATGTGGAAGACACATGAGTGCCCAGGGTGGGGGCTGATTCCCGAAAGATGCCTAAGCCTACTCACTGCTGGATGCAATTAAGAGTTTTGTGGTTTGATGCCAGGTGCAGTGGCTCACGCCTGTAATCCCAGCACTTTGGAGGCTGAGGTGGGCGGATCACGAGGTCAGGAGTTTCAGACCAGCCTGGCCAATATGGTGAAATCCCGTCTCTACTAAAAAATAAAAAAACTAGCCGGGCATGGTGGCGTGTGCCAAGTAGTGCCAGCTACTTGGGAGGCTGAGGCAGGACAATTGCTTGAACCCAAGAGATGGAGGTTGCAGTGAGCCGAGATGGCACCACTGCACTCCAGCCTGGGCAACAGAGGGAGACTCTGTCTCAAAAAAAAAGAAAATTGTTTTGTGGTTTGCAAGTCAAGAGCGAGTAAGCCCAAGGGCATGAATCCAGGCGGACAGTGGCGCCTTCCTACATCAAAGCCCCAATCCCGGAACCCTTCCCCTCTCACTCCCTCCAGTCACTCTGCACCTCTAACTGCGGCTGGGATTGTGGCCTGGCCTTCTCTCCCTGGTCCTGGGGAACTCACAGGGCATGGAGGAGCAGGACTCCTAGCAGGATCCCCTGCATGGAGCTCACTCCACCACCCACCATCATCCAGGCTGCTCCTCAGGCCCAAGCACCTTCCCTCCTTGGTGAGCTCCTCTTTGTCCTTCAAGGCCTAAATCAATAGGAAAGGTCTGGAGGGGAACATACCAGAAATCTGAGTGAGGCAGGATCGTGGATGGAAGCATGAGGTTTTTCTTTTTCTTTTTTCTTTTTTTTGAGACAGAGTCTTGCTCTGTTGCTCAGGCTGGAGTGCAGCGGAGCGATCTCGGCTCACTGCAACATCCTCCTCCCAGGTTCAAGCGATTCTCCTGCCTCAGTCTCCTGAGTAGCTGGGATTCCATTACAGGCACGTGCCACCACGCCCAGCTAATTTTTGTAATTTTGGTAGAGAGGGGGTTTGCCATCATGCCCAGGCTGGTCTCAAACTCCTGACTTTAAGTGATCTGCCTCCCTTGGCCCCCTAAAATGCTGGGATTACAGGTGTAAGCCACTGCGCCCGACTCTTTTCCTTCTTTTTGCCTATCTGCTTTTTTCTATACTGGAGAGGTGTTGCTTTGGTGATAAGAGGAAGACTGTAGTGATGATCATGATGCTAGTGACAAGGGTAATGATCTGTCCCAGGTTGGACCCCATCTCTGTTGTCTTGAAACTCCCCTCCCCACCTTTCCCAACGTTCCCCTCAGCAGGCTGGCTCCTTGGGGCTCCTGCAATTGGGTCCTTATTTTTGTTATGTTGTTGTTGTTTTAGAGATGGGGTTTCACTTTGTCGCCCAAGCTGCAGTGCAGTGACGCAATCATAGCTCACTGCAGCTTGGAACTCCTGGGCTCAAGCAATCCTCCTGCCTCAGCCTCCCGAGTAGCTGGAACTGCAGACACATGCCACTGCACCCGGCTAATTTTTCCTTCTTTCTTCTTTTTTTTTTCTTTGACACGGAGTTTTGCCCTTGTTGCCCAGGCTGGAGTGCAATGGCGCGATCTCGGCTCACTGCAACCTCTGCCTCCCGGTTCAAGCAATTCTCCTGCCCTCAGCCTCCCAAGTAGCTGGGATTACAGGCATGCACCACCACACCCAGCTGATTTTGTATTTTTAGTAGAGATGGGTTTTCTCCATGTTGGTCAGGCTGGTCTCAAACTCCCAACCTCAGGTGATCCCACCGTCTCGACCTCCCAAAGTACTGGGATTACGGGCGTGAACCACCGCGCCCGGCCTAAATTTTCTGTTTTACAAGTCCTTGTCTTTTATGCACAGCATCTGCACAAGCCATTCTCCGACCCTGGGGCTCTCCCTCCGGCCCCAGTCCCCTGCCCCACTGCCAACCAAACGCTGCCAGTTCACACTGTGATGTCTTCAGAGTCCCTGCGGCTTCATCACAGATTGTGACTCCACGTGCATTTCTGTCATAACTCGAATTACACCCCTCACCCCTGTCCTCCACCCCTGGCTTCATAAGAGCAGGGACAGGGCCTTTTCTTTTTTCTTTTTTTTTTTTTTGAGATGGAGTCTCGCTCTGTCGCCCAGGCTGGGTGCAGTGGTGCAACCTTGTCTCACTGCAACTTCTGCCTCCCAGGTTCAGGCAATTCTCCTACCTCAGCCTCTTGAGTAGCTGGGACTATAGGCACCTGCCACCACACCTGGCTAAGTTTTTGTATTTTTAGTAGAGATAGGGTTTCACCATGTTAGCCAGGATGGTCTTGATCTCCTGACCTCGTGATCTGCCCTCCTCAGCCTCCCAAAGTGCTGGGATGACAGGCATGAGCCACCGCGCCAGCCAACAGGGTCTTTTCTTTTAAATCAACTTCATTATGACATAATTTCATAGAGTAAAAGGCATCCCTTTTAAGTGTACAATGTAATTAGTTTTGACAAGTGTATACACCCTTATAACCACTTTCACAATCAAAATACAGACATTTCCACCATGCCCCTTGGCAGTCAGCCCCCATCCCCACCCTGGCAGGCAACCAAGGATCTGTTTCCTGTCACTGTGAATGTGCTCAGCCGGATCTAGAATTTCATGTAACGTGGTCCTGCAGGCAGTGCTTCTCTGTGTCTGGCTTCCCTTGGCACCGTGCTTCTGAGTCGTCCAGGCAGCTGTGTGTGCCAGTTGCTTCTCCCACTGTTGGTGTTCCGTGCAGGGATGTGCCATGGTTTGTGAACAGTCTCTCTGCTCACGGGTGTTTGAGTTGTTTCCAGTCACAGTTATTATGAATAAAGCTGACATGAACATTCAGGGGCAATCCTGTGTGGACGTACCTGTTTGTTTCTTTGGGTAAATAACAGAAGTAAAATTGCTGGCTCCCATGGTAAGAGGATGGTTAGCTTTTTAAGAACTGCAACCTATTTTCCAAAGTGTCTGGAATAGATCACATTGCCACCAGCAGTGTGTGAAGGCAGCAGTTGCCACACCTCACTCTCTAACATGGGGTACCACTGGATCATGAGTCTTATAGAGCGCACATCCTGGCTCCTGGCCCAGTGCTGGCCACTGTGGGTGCCCACTCTATTATTTTTTTTTTTTTTGAGACGGAGTCTCATTCTTGTTGCCTAGGCTGGAGTGCAATGGCGCCATCTTGGCTCACTGCAACCTCCACCTCCCAGGTTCAAGTGATTCTCCTGTCTCAGCCTCCCAAGTGGCTGGGACTACAGGCACACGCCACCATGTCTGGCTAATTTTTGTATTTTTAATAGAGACAGGGTTTCACCATGTTGGTCAGGCTGGTCTCGAACTCCTGACCTCAGGTGATCCACCTGCCTCGGCCTCCCAAAGTGCTGGGATTACAGGTGTGAGCCACCGCACCCAACCTTTTGTTTTTGTTTGTTTTTTTGCTTTTTTTTTAGAGATAGGGTCTTGCTCTATCCCCCAGGCTAGAGTTCAGGGGTGCAATCACAGCTCATTGCAGCCTCAAACTCCTGGCTCAAGTGATTCTCCCATCTTATCCTCCTAAGTAGCTGGGACTATAGGTGCCCAGCACCACATCTGGCTA